TTAAATGGGTTCGAGTAAATCTGGTCGGGAAGAATATGCATACATGCTTCGAAATAAAATTTCGAGTGAATAATTAAAATTATTGTTCAACTTTATATTTTGTTTATGAAATGTCTTAAAACGTTTAAAACTAATACTATTAAATTAAAAAGCTATTATTATTGATATTAATGAAAATTGTTTGTAGTTATTTCAAATAAACATTCAAAAATATATTTTTTAGAAGTTTTAGAACTTTTATTATTACTTTTAAAATGATAAACAGAGAAGGTTTGCCTATCTTGTACCGTGGTTGATTAGGGTCCTGAGGTGAGTGCGACCTCACGAATAAAATTGAGGAGATAGTATAGTGGATCTGAATAAGTAACTCTCTCTTTGAATATTATCTGTGAAGGTTAGCTGACAACCCTCCCACGAGACCATACTTCCACTAAAATCGTGGGTTGTGATCACCTGCTTGTTGGTCAACTACTAAGTCACGCTACGTGGTTCCACGCTCCCTCGCTCAGGGACGGATTTCTACGACCCAGGGGTATTCTTTGGAAGACTCTTTTGCCATCACTACTAGGTTGGGGCATAAGTCACACTTTCTTGTCTGACTCTGCCTAGCTCAATGATCTCAGTATCGTGGTTTTGTCTTGACGGTACAGTATCAGAGTAGAGAGGGAAGTGGAAATTCTGGCGACACTATCCCCACTGCTCAAGTCTAGCAGCTGCCTCAGTTGTCTACAGATATCATGGGGTCCTACTAGTTCTTTCTTAGGAAAATCTTGGTGGCTTAGACTTGGATTCATTCATCTCTAGGATTATCGCACAAGGTCTCACAAACCTATCATGGTTTGGCGTACTAGGGTCTGGGTTCGCTAGTAATCGTTTCGCGGGCCTAAATGCACAGTATTCTAGAGGTATCTCATTCTAGAGTTTTGTCTAACCTACTTAGTCTCAAGCACCCTAGTCTAAGCTCGTAGTTTTTTCCTATTCAACAAGAAAGATAACACAAGCAACCATGCACTGGAGTTAACACCTAGCAGTTCATGCAATATTAACAAACATGCTGAACAGGAAGATAACGTCCATTTTTACCCCTAGAGTAGATTTCACAAATTTCTCTTCCTCCTCATGCATACATACATTATCACAATCTCAATCTAAACAGATTTCATAATCGTTCATATCTAGATTCCATTGATTTCCTTAAATAATTCATTTCCATAGCTTTCATACTAATATACTAGGCTCGGCGTGCTAGCTAGGTATATCAATTTGACAGCATGCATGCTTATTCCAAGCCGTACTTTGTGAGAGTCTAAATGGCTATTTACTTGGTTGATGCGTGTCTTCCCGAGCTCGAATTACTTGCTGGAGAGGGTTCTAAAAACTCTGAAATTTTCTTGATAGGTTCTAATTCACATAATAATAGAATCAGTATTGAAATCGGGACGAAAAACAAGCAAATAGGGGTTGAACGGAGGGAAAAGGGTGACTCACACGCCATCCACGGGCGTGTCTCACACGTGGAGATTCTACTCCCACGTGTTTGAGGGAAACTAAAAGAAATAAAGTTTAATGTAATAATGGTTTGAATGGATAGAATAATCTGAAAATAAGTTTTATTATTAATCACTC